AGATCCAGTGGAATCTGAGGCCACAGTCAAACGAGTAAGTCCCATATGTGCTTCTTTTCAAAGACCTAGAACTCTTTTCTAAGGTCACAGACTGCGACCCCTCAACCAGGGTCATCACAATCGCAGAGTGTTAGCTATTTCAAGGGGATCAGACAGATCCACTCATGTCTTTTACTAGTCTCGAAAACATGAGGACACTGAGTGCTGGTGTTCTGTTAGCACCAGGCCCTTCCTAAGGGAAGTGTGTGCGCCAGACATTCTCCTCTCTCCTTATGCAGAGGGGGAAATCACCACAGGTGAGTCGGATGACCACAGTGGAAGTCCTGAGATTTGGGAATTTAAAAAAAAAGTCCAATTATACTACCTTAACACTTTTGTGACTTGAGCTGGTTTTTTAAGTTCTCTGGATCTGTTAGTATTTTTTGTAACATCTTTATTGAGCTATAATTCACATACCATACAATTCACCTCTGAAAAATGTACAGTTCAGTGGCTTTCAGCCTATTCACATAGTTGTCCATCATCATAGTTGATTTTAGAACATTTAGTTACCCTCAAAAGAAACCCTCTACCTCGCTGTCACTTCCCAGGCCCCTCATTCCCTCCAGCCCTAGGCAACCAGTCATCTATTTATGTCACTAGAGATTTGCGTGTTCTGGACACTTCATAGCAATGGAATCATCCCGTATGTGGTCCTTTGTGACTGGCTCCTGTCACTTGGCATAGTGTTTTCAAGGTTCATCCATGTGGCAGCATGTATCAGGACTTTGTTTTTTTTAACACCAAATGATATCCCCTTGTTAGGGATATATCACATTTAATTTATCCACTCATCTGTCGATGGACATTTAGGCTGTTTCTCCTTTTTTGGCTATTACGAACAATGCTGCTATGAAGGTTCATGACAAGTTTTTGTGTGGGCATATGTTTTCATTTCTCTTGGGTATATACCCAGGAATGAAATTTCTGGGTAACTTGGTAACCGTATACTTAACTCAGGAATGGCCAGCCTGTTTTCCAAACAGTCCACAGCATTTTATACTCTTACGTGTGCAATGTATTAGGGTTCTAGTTTTTCGATATTCTCACCAGCACTTGTTTCTTATCTGACTTTTTTATTGTAGCCATCCTAGTGGATATGAAGTGGTACCTCACTGTGGTTTTGATTTGCATGTCCCTGATGGCTTATGATGCTGAGCATCTTTTCATGTCCGTACTGGCCATTTGTAGATCTCTTTTAGAGAAATGTTTATTCAGATCTTTTTCTCATTTAAAAAATTTGGTCATTTGTCTTTTTTATTATTGAAATGTAGTAGTTCTCTATATATTCCAGATACAAATCTCTTATCAGGCATATGAGTTGCAAAAATTTTTTCCCATTCTGTGAGTTATATTTTCACTTTTTTGATGGTGCTCTTTGATATATAAACATTAAAAAATTTTATATGCCCAGTTTACCTTTTTTAAAAATTATTCCTTGTGCTTTTGGTGTCATTTGTAAGAAACCATTGCCTAATTCAAGGTCATGAAGACTTTACTCCTATGTGTTCTACAAGTTTTAAAGTTTTAGATCTCGCATCTAAGTCTTTGATCCATTTTGAATTATTTTTTTTAATATATGGTTTGAGATAGGGGTCCAATCTCATTCTTTGGCATGTGAATATACAGCTGTCCTAGCATCACTTATTGAAAAGATTATTCTTTCTTCATTTGGCATGCTTGCTGAAAATTAATTGATCAAAAATATGAGGGATTATTTGGAACTCTCAGTTCTATGCTCTTGATCTATATGTTTATCCTGTGTAAGTACCTCATAGCACATGTAAGTACCACACTGTCTTGATTACTATAGCTTCGGAGTAAGTTTGGAAATTAGGAAATACGAGTATCTCAACTATGTTCTTTTTAAAGATATTTTTGGCTATTCTGAGTGCCTTGAATCTCCATATTAATTTTAAGGTCAGTTTGTCAATTTCTGCAAAAAAAAAAAATCAGCTGAGATTTTGATAGGGATTGTGTTGAATCTGCATGTTAATTTGGGAAATATTGACATCTTAATAATATTAAATCTTCCTACCCCTGAACATGGGTTGTCTTTACATATAGTTAGGTCTCCCTTAAATATTTTTCAACAGTGTTTTGTGGTAGTGTTCAGAGTATAAATTTTGTACTACTTTGGTTCAAATTTTTTTAAATTGTTTTCTTAACTTAATTTTTGGGTTGCTTATCACTACTGTATAGAAATACAATGAATTTTTATATATTAATCTTTTCTCCTGCAGCCTTGCTGAGCTCATGCATTAGTCTGAATAGCTTTTCATGGGATTGTGTCATCTGAAAATAGAGATTTACTTCTTCCTTTCCAATCTGGATGCCTTTTATTTTTCTTGCCTGGTTGCCCTGACTAGAACCTCTAGTATAATGTTGGATGAAAGTGGAGGCCTAGTCACTTTAAAATAAAGTCCTAGGTCCAAAGACGTTTGCAAAGGTTAATCGTTGGTGGCGGTGTAAAGGTACACAGTCCAAAGCAGTGAATCTGAGATGCTGATAGATGTGTACACTCATCATTTCTACTTCTCCTGGTAAACATCAGCCAAACATGGTCATTTTTACTAAATAGTTGTCTCCTACCGAAAGGATTTTTGCAGTGAAAATTTAGATTAAGCAAAAAATCTATAACATGCATCTTTCTCTCCAATTCAATAAGCAATATGCTTACAGACCCTGGAACAGAGAAAACCTGTATTTGTGTGATAGATGGATGTAGGTCCTAGTCAGTGTCCCCATGTTTCCCATGCCTCTAAGGTACCTCTGCTGTTCTTAACCATTCGGAATAAAATAGAGGAACTTTGGTGCCAAAAGGTGATTATCCTCTTTCATTTTATAAATCAGTTCAATGGAGGTAAAAAGATCTTTGCCAAGGTCACAGTGTCCTTCCCCAGACTAGTAGGCAAGTGATAGGTCCTCAGTTACAGGTCAGCTGAAGGACCTTCGGAGTGTCCCTTGGATTTGGGGTGAGAACTGCTGGGTTCTGAAGACTCAGCGGGTCACCTGGCTCTCAACCACGTGCTGTTGAGTTCTGCTCTGCTGTCTCCATGGGACGCGCGTGGCAGCAGCTGTGCATCCCGCTGACAGCTCTGACCTGATGGAGCCAGAGGGCTCTTAGAACCCTCCCCACCAGGCAGCTGGCTCTCTGGTCTGATTACGGTTCTCACCAGCTTTCGTTAGGGATGGTAATCTTCTGTCGGGTTGCAGCATGGGGACAGAGGCTTGGCAGGGCAAAGTAATGTTTTAGTAGCCCACCCTTTAAATTTTCTACCCGGAAGAGGATTCCTGCTAGGGAAAGAAGAAGTACTTACAATGCTATGCTTTTTCATGTGTGTTCCCTTTTACGTTCATTCCTCCTGCCCTACATCCTTTGTGATGGTGGTAGAGGAAGAGTGGGGGTTTTTTTGTTTTTTTTTTAATTTGCCAGAGGGAAAGGGAGCCCAGAGAAGTTACTTGAAGTGACATAGTTAGTTTATTGAGGGGGACTGACAAGAGAGGAGGTGGGCAGTGCACTTTCCATGGTTTCATAGCGGGGTGAGTAGGTACAGTGTGTGCATCAGTTCTTAGGGAGCTCTTCTGAGCCTGGAAATGAAATAATAATAAAGAACGACCCTAACGATTGGGATCCAGTGCTATGATTCTGTGCCTTTTGGCCGCTGCTCTAGTTATGACCATTGGTTAATTAAAATGACAAAGTACATTGAGAACTCGCTGCTAATAACTTTTCCTGCCATCGTCACCTCCCAAGTAAAGATGAACCTTGAACCCTCCTCGGAATTGGCTCCGCTGAGGTTCTTGCTATTAATATAGAACGGAAACATAGGGTTAGGATGTAGAAGTCTGTGCAACAAAGATGTATTTTTAAAACAGATGATTTGAATAGTTTCAGTTGCTCTTTAATTTGCTTAACTCTGCCTCTTTTTTCCTCCCTTCCTTTGCCCTCAGAAGAACTGGAAGGCATTACACTGTACAGTAGTTACAGACACCTGGGTTTGGACCCAGGCTCTGCTACTTACTTTCTGTGTGATCTTGAGTCACTTGCTTAACCTCTCTGTGCCAGAGCTTTTTACATGGAGAAAATAATAGCTCATATCCTCATAGGATTGCAGCAATGATTAAATAAGTTAGTACTTATTAAAGCACTTGGAAGAATGCCTGGCCTGTAGAATGGATTCAGTTTATGTTAACTGTTTATTGTTAAAAATAGTTATAATAGTACAATTATTGTAACTACCACTGCTTCTCCTGCTACTCTTACTCCAACTCTTCCTGTCAAAGTTGATCTACCTGTAATTCAGCTTATTTAAAAAAGAATTGAAGGTGACTTGTCCATTACACGTCCCTTTCCCTCCTGTCAGCTGGGATGATCAGGGACAATAGCAGAATGAGGCCTGTTCACAAGGCAGGCCTTCCCTCCTCTCCCGATTCCCATCGCTCAGGGCTGGAAAAACAACCACATTCTCATCCATTGAACTAGATTCCAGCCAGCCTGGGGACAACATATAAAAGGAGGGGCGTGGGGGGGGTGTGTGTGGGGGGTGACAACGACCAAAAAACAAAAAAAACCCAGAAATCCTTCTTGGTTCACTCTCAGATTTTAAAAAAATTGATTTCTGTGGAAAATCATTAACACTGATGTGGTCATGGAGAGAATAGTTTTCATTCTTTGAAGATTTAAATAGGAAACAGCCAGAATAAGTTGCCCCAAAAGGTATTTATTTATTGTCCTAAGATTTGACGGGATGTGCATTTCTGTCTTAGCTCTTTTTTTTTTTCCAACTTCTGGGAAGTTCTTGGCTTCCAGGGACTATAGCTGGACTTCCTCGCAGTATCTGGCGTGACTGCAGACATGCGGTTAATATGGGACTAAGTAAATGTGCAGTTAAACAGCTAAACAGAACTTCCTCCTGGGTGGCCTTTAATGCCTTGTTCCTTCCTCTCTCCGTCTCCAGGCATCTCAGACGAAGACATCATCAACATCACTCTTCCTACCGGTGTCCCCATTCTCCTGGAACTGGATGAGAACCTGCGCGCTGTTGGGCCTCACCAGTTCCTGGGAGACCAAGAGGCTATCCAGGCTGCCATTAAGAAAGTAGAAGATCAAGGAAAAGTGAAAAAAGCTGAAAAATAAAGTCTTTCCCAAGTCCTGGCTAAGAATAGCTGCAAAAAGGAGTGGCATGCAGTATGTTATATAGGTGCTGATCTCAATATCTCCCTCCTTCCTTGCCTCCCTCCATCCCTCCCTCCATCCCACCTTCCGTATCCTGGTTTTTCCTGATTTTTCCAGAGCTAGGCTGTGGGGTAAAGTTTGTATAGCTAACTAGGGAACTTATGTTGGCCCAGATAAGGACTTTAGGATGCTTGAGTGCTTGCAACATAAATCTTACGGGTTCGCTCTCCTGCTGGCCCTGTGTGAATTCGTCACTAAACTTGTAACCGGTGGGGCTTCATCAATGTCCTGAGTTTCTGAGATGGGAGAGTGATCAGTGGAGGTAAAGTTTCAGGTATTCATCATGCAGTAAATCATTATCGTGTCACCACTGGCAGGTACTACTCCAATAAGTAGGTCACGTCTATATTTACTAAGACTTTCTGGGATGATAGAAAAGGATATTCGATAATGCACTATACTTAAGTATTTATTACTAGTCTTTTCCTCTAGGAAAAGGGATGCTTTGAAAGGTACGACAGGAGGCCCATGAAATGGGAAGGCCACAGAAAGGTTCCTCCAAGACAGCCAACGACAGAACAAGGCCCTTGGCCTCGTCTGTAGTCTAGAGACATCCTTTGCTTGACATTTTTGGTGGAATTTCTCTTCGGCAGCTATTATAGAATTAGCAGCACGTAGACACCTGTAACCCTTTTTTTTGTTTTGTTTTGTTTCTGTTTTTTGAATCTTAATCCTTGGGTACTTAAAATTGGTTTAGGAATAAAGTTCTGTGACCGAAAAATGTATCTCTATATGATTCATGAATATTAATTAGATCGAGGCCTCTGAACTGGTCTCCTTTTCATATCACCCTGTCACACTCAAAAGAGTTGTCCTTTTTTTCAACACGCAGATGCTCCTAATTCTCTCTATAAATGGAAGGTTGGGGTCAGGGAGAAGGTACAGTGTCGTGGGTGTAATTTTATTCACGGGAGCAGAGGAAATGATGTATTGCAGCTTGTCACGTGCATATGTTGTTGATCTGCTGAGGGTAAAAGATTATAGTATGTAGCATAGAGCAGCCAGGGGAGGCCACGGACAGAATTGATGGCTTATCAATCTTCAGGATACTGTTTTCCATAGTACATTTTCAGGTACTGTAGGTATGTAAGTCATCATTTCTTGAAGCTATTGCCTTACTTCAAAGCAAGTAACATATTTCGGTGATCAAGTCATGAAAAAATTTTGCAGCTGTTACAGATATTTACCATTTTTTTTATAGCTTTCCAGGGGTGGATGAGCTTATTTGTATCCATTTTACAGTAAAACTGGCATTAGAAGGAAGCTAATTGTAAAACCCTTACTACTGCTTGGTCTCCATGTAATCCTTAAATCGGGACCTGTAGAGCACTGGCTAATGCAGGTGGCTGGAAAAGGAGATGAGCCTGGTTTGTGCACAGCTGGCCACATCTGTGATACCTAAGGACATGGAATGTGAGTACTGTAAGTTTCTGACCAACTACTGTTTACTGTAGTCCTTTTCGGAGTCTAGTTGCTTGACCAAATGACACTCCTTAGAATTCAGAGATCAGAGTCAACTACCAACTGCCAGATCTTCCTAGAAATCAAAACCTGTGATCAGGCTGCAGCTCAGACCATTTTTGAACAGCTTTACCCCTGAAATTGGCCTCCCAATTTTCCAGCCCATGGGATGACCATGTCTCAATGCAGCTCAAGATCCTAGAGTTGAAATCTTCCCTTGTCTATTTCCAGGGGGTCCCCCTGGCAAGACAGTGGGCTCCTGCATGCAAAGCTATACTCACTCCCAATCACTTTGGAATCGTGCAGACTTCCTCAGGTAGGGATAATTTTTGGATACTTTCTGATTGCAATTTGGTCTTACTGTTTTTGAGCTCTTGGCTGAAATAAATGAAGAGAGATTCACGGAAACTTTATGTACCATGAATTTTAACAAGTCCAGCACTTCAACCTTAGGCCACTGAGTGAACCTAGTGTTCTTTACATGGCTTACAAGGTACTCATAATTTTTCGTAATGGAATCTGGAAGGCTGCCTATCCTGCATCCCAGTCTTGGCGTTATCCTTCTGTTGTTTGTCAAGCTGGGACCACAAAAAAAAAAAAAACAAACCAGAGGAATTTTAATTTATCTTTTATTTTTTTAATTTTTATGTTAAGGAAATGCTAGACAGCTTGTCTAGAAATTTGATCCTTGGAGAGGGCAGCCCGTCCTGCTGCCAGGTTGGGCTTGCTGTGAAACCAGCTGTACGTGACTCCTCTGCCCAGGCTGAAAGGAGCGTCCCCGTGTGGGTCCAGCGTGGTAAGATGAAGGCAGCAGCAAGACGCTCCTAGAGTTTTCATTTTTAAATATCTCAGCTGAACTGTATCCCAGTCCACTGAGACTTGGTTTTCTTACAAGAGCTGGAAGTTCTGCTTCAGAAAACGCAAGTCCTGGAATCATCCAGCACTAACGTAAGCCCTGAATTAACAAAGCATCCTTGGTTAGAATATACTGGGTTGCACAGTTTCCCTCGATAAGATGCACAAGGAAGATTTCTTAATGTGATCTGGCTGTTGCCAGATTCTTGTGCTCAAAATTTGCAGATGATTTCTCATCTTGGAGTATGACCATTTTTATTAAAATGCGGTTACTGTGGATGCACTTCAATGGCAGTGGTTGTCTTCTAGCCTGGAGAAGCCTCCCCATGTTCTGTGGCTTTGGGGGTAAAAGTGCTCTTTTTGGTCAGCGTGTGAGCCTGTTCAAGCCCATCCCCATTGGACAATTGACCAACTTGGTGGCTAAAAACAAATCCTTCCGGTCATATTGCCACCCTCAGGAGAGAGAGGCCAGGAGTCAGGTACCTTCTCGCCATTTCTATTATGTATACTTCTATTCTCCCAGCCCCTTACCATTTTTGACAAAATGGGATAGGTAGGGGAAATACCTTAACTAGACAGAAGTTTCAGTATCCCCAGCATCACTTTTAATTCATTCTTATGCTTTTACAAAGTGATGACTCTCTTTTCAAAGGTCAACTTGCCTCTTACATAGAAAGCCTTTCATATCTTCTGCCCTCACAAATACACTAAAACTGCCTCAGCGTTGCAGATCTTGATCACGTTTCCTGTTTTTGTGTTTTGCATAATTGAATTTCTGTAAGTTTTTTGGCTCACTTTAATAACACCATTCATTTTATTAAACCCTGCCTTGCCTCACAGCAGATCTGGCTGTGGCAGATGCCATGTTATGCTGTAATCGGAGGCTTTTCACATTGGACTGTGAGGGAGATTTAAACCCCTGATCCCAAGGGGAATATGAAACATCCAAAATGAAAGAATATTTTAATCAATCTCCCTCTAATGACCAAGTTACCTGGCAAAATCACAGGCAGGATTAAAGTGACTCTTTTTCCATAATTGGTAAATTTGTATTTATTGGAGGATCATCTAGCTATATAGTTTAGTCTTCAGGACCTTAGGTTGCCAAAAAAATAAATAACTTCCTTTGATAGTTTTTTAAAGGTTAACAATCTCCTCACTCTCCCCTGCCCCACTGTATTATTTGGAAATAAATGCCAAACATCAGACAGGATAGATTTTGAAAAGGAAAACCACCACCGCAAATTTCGATGAGTTAAAATAGAAGCCATCAGCCATCTGCCCTGAACTGGGTCCTTTTTGGTTTGGCGTTCTGGAGAAACCAAATGACAACCATTGCTAAGTTGGCCAGTTCGAGTCTTGACTTGTATAAACTAGTCTGTATTATCTCTGGTTGCTCTTTAGAGGTTGGTTTGTCTGTTATGCGTGGCTTGGGGAGGATAATATGGGTGACTTGGTGACGTTAAATTCAAGTGTTTTAAAGATGAAAAATAGCCCTGGGGCTATTTTTAAATAGCCCTGAAACAATTTTGTGGGTTTAAAAAATGAGCAAGTTTGTTGATGTTCTTGTAGATCAGGTTTACTGTGGAAGAAGGGAGATACAATAAAATATGGAGGAAGTTAAAGTAGAACCCTGTTTTATAGGTTTTGAACTGGAGATATTTGTATGAACGTGTGTGTGTGTGTGTGTGTGTGTGTGTGTGTTCCTCTTCCCAATACCACACCTCCTTTTCCCACCCCCAACCCCCAGATCTGGCTTTGTCCTGTGAAAGGCCCAAGAGGCAGTAACCTAGTCATAAATGAGCACACCTAGTTCCTTGGTCTTGCTTTCAAAGTACTATGCCACAGAGCCAGGGATGTTGGTTGATTCCAGGTTTGGGGCAGATAAAGTATAATGTGAGCGTGGAACATCTTGAGTCAGAAAAGGAGAAAATACCCAAAGACCGATGGAACACAAAAATTGGCTTCAAGTGCCAAATTTGGGGGAATTTGAGATGAAAGAAAAGAATGATGATAATGGAATATAGAACATTTGTCTTAGTCTGCACAGGCTGCTATAACAAAAGATCACAGACTAGGCGGCTTAAACAACAGACATTTATTTCTCACAGTTCTGGAGGCTGGGAAGTCCAAGATCAAGGTGCTGGCAGATACGGTGCCTAATGAGGGCCCTCTTCCTTGTTTTGGGGCAGACACCTTATTGCTGTGTCCTCACACGGTTGATAAAGAGAAGGAGCTCTGGTCTCTTTCCCTCATAAGAGCACTAATCTCATCATAGGGGGTCCAACCTCGTTGATCTCCTCTGTACTTAACCTCCCAAAGGCCCCACCTCCACGTTTCATCATATTGGCGATTAGGGCTTCAACACTTGAACCTTAGTTAGATAGTGTAATTAAACGTTGTGGAGGATATTTTGGGGGCTGAAGAATTTGAGGGTGAGGTGTCATGATGTCTGCAGCTCGTATTCAAATGGCTCGGCCAACACCACGTCCCTGTAGATTTAGAGACAGCAAATATGGTAGATGTTATAATTGATGACTTGAGGGAAGAGTTTATCATATACTATTGTATGATTCTTCCAGCTTCTCTGTAGGCTTGAGATTTTTAAAAATAAAATCAAAATAGTGACAGGAGAAAACCATTGACAAAAAAAGTTGACTAAACTTTGTATTAAGTACAGCCACTAAAGCTTACCTTAGTATTTGCAGAGACTGGATAAAGGTGACCGGTTTCTGTGTGTCTTATTCTTTTTGAAATCTCAGTCCTCGCTAGGTAAGGGGAGCACTTTTAAACCTGTATTATATTGTCAAGAAACAAGTTGGACACTAATTATATTTCTACTATGTTTGGGGCTATCGTTACACATCAGACCAACAATTAGCTTGTCTGCTGATCCTAAAAAAATCAGAAACAGGATTATGACTACCATGGCCTGTAGCCGAACAAATAGTAGTGGGATTTCTTGCTCCTGATGCAAAACCTATCTTAATCTCCTTTCGTGCCTTAGGGTGGCATCCCTTCTTAACGCCGTTATTTGGCTCCTAAACTCGACTTAATCTCCAGGCCTGTGTTTCCTTGGATTTCAGCTCCCTGCAGAACCCACCTGGCAAGTACCCCTTGTGTCATCCTGCTCAGTGTCAGAGCCATGTGACTGAAGCAGCCACGGTTTCTGCTCCTCCTACGTGCATCCTTCTAACTCTGCCGAGGGTCAGTGGCCCATCGTGAAAGCTGCTCCTTGTGCCAAAGAAGTCAGATGAATTCTGTTGGCACCAAAGATTTGCCATTTATTTACATTGTGGTCGGCCACGTAAGCCTTAGTTTCTTTTCACTTTAAGAACAAGGTTCATGAAAAAGATCCTGTTTTCATGAAGTAAGCTCTCCCTTTTCCAGACAGCTTCATTGCTCAACC